CACAGAAATCCTCCTGCCTCAGCCTCCCAGAATGCTGGGATTCCAGGCATGAACCACCACGCCTGGTATTAGTGGCTGTCTTAGTGCTCCTGTTTCCAGTCACTTTACTATAAATGTAAAAATGTATTCCTGTATACTCTATTCCATTTCTTTTTATCATATTCACATTTGCTTGCTTTCTGTCTTGTATGGCACCACACTGATGTGGTCTGTCTTTACTATATGCTTTCTCAGCCTTGTTTGAGTACAGCTACCAGGCGATTGCTTCCAAGTCAGTAGTTTCATCATATTTCTAGAGATGAATATTGGTCAGTGGCTTCAGGCCATTATTGCCCCAGAAGAAAATTCCTTTTTATGCATTTTTTGTTTTGTTTTGTTTTTTTGAGATAGGATCTCACTCTAGCCCCAGCTGGCCTCGAATTCATAGTGATCTTCCTGCCTCAGCCCCCCACATGCGTGCGCCACGATGCTCTGCTCTTTGCTTGCTTTTCAAAGTGCATCAGTTAGTCTTGCCCAGCTCTCCAGGAGTATTTCCCTCCATTCCTGACCCAAAGTCTTCTTTTCTAATCTGGCCCATTTCTTTCTTTTTTAAAAAATTAATTTTGTTGGTACATTTTAGGTATACAATATGACATTCATCAGTGGAAATTTCTTTTATTCTAGTCATCCTATCTTCTTTCCTGTCTTGTATCTTGTTTCTCTGCGTTCAGTTCTCTTCTCATTTCTTTTCAGTTTAAATTTTAACAGCATGTTCAGAGCCTTTAAGCAACTTGTGATATGCCTCTCTCTTAGGCATAGTTCTTAAAGCAACTCCTCCGTCATTCATTCTGTCCCTTAATGCATGACCTCGTTCTGGGTTTGGAGTATCTGGAATATTCAGGATCCCATGGCTTTTGTGTTTATATGTAGATTTTCTTCCTGTATAGCTAAGGACAGAGACTGTATTTAGTTCTTTCACAGGGCTGAATATGAAGTTAATTTTAAAATCTTTAGGTGTGGATATATTTGGAAAATCAGATATCTTTAAGATTTTTATAAGCTACATATAACTTGATGCTAAACAGCTCTGGCAGGGCCCGGATAGCACTTTGTAATCAAATACATTACGTTTTCTTTTTGAGACAGAGTCTTGCTATGTAGTTTATAGTCTGGTATTAACTTGCTATATATCCCAGGCTACTTTGAATGCCTGGAGATCCTCCTGTCTAAGCTTCCGAAGTGCTGCGATTTCAGGCATACACTGCCATGTCTGGCTAAAGTTTTTATTGTTAAATGTATACTCCAGGAGGATTGAAGTCAGGATCCTATATTTAAAGATTTCTATTTCCATAGCAAAAAAATGATTATTCACACTAAAGTATGATGTAGACTGCAGTCATATACCAGTTCAGGGCTGGTGTGATGTTGTTGCCACGTGAGCTACAAATGAAATGGATTAGATGGGCCTTGGGGCTGTGGAGTTGTGCTTGATGGACTGGGGCTTCACAGATGCTAAGAGCACTCTGCAGTTGCAGAGCTGGAAATGCCATTCTTGTCTTGCACACTGTTCTTGGCCCTTCTCCGTCTTCCTGTTCTGGGTGTTAGCTACCCACTTCTTTCTAACATTTGTCCTATTATTCTTTCTTCTTGTCACTCCTGTCCCCAGACAGCTGATGTAGTACCACTTGTTTCCAGTGTGTGTGTGAGCTGTGACCACTTTTTCATGCCCTGAAACCTCAGGATTGTTTTAGAGGGTGTGATAGCAACATAGTCAGTGCTGAACTGAACTTGGGAAGAAGGCATTTCACTTCTCTCTGTGGCTTCTTCTCTCAGAGAACACTCTTGAGAGAGGGGAGCAGCCATGTGAAGTTATCCCTGTGAGGTTTACAGAGCTTTTTTTCCCTTCAAATTTTAATTTTTATTAGTACATAATTATTACATTCCTTGTGGGCAGTTTATACCTGTATGTAACACAATTTTTTTTTCATTCCTTTCATCTCCTCCCCCTGCCTCCATCTCTTGGTCCCCTTCCCATTTATAGAAAGATCTATCTCCCTATTTCCTATTATCTTTTATTTTGCTGTTTTATTTTGGGTTCCTCATAAAAGACCAACCATGTAATATTTAAGCTTCTATGTCCATTTATTTCACTTAACATTATTGTCTCAGGGTGCACTTGTACTCATTTATTCTTCACGGCAGAGTAATACTCCATGATGTGTAAATACCACATTTTCTTTATCCATTCATCTGTTAATGGACATACAGGTCACTTCCAAGATTTATCTATTGTGACTTGTGTTGCTATAAACATGGGTATGTATGTATCATTGTGATGTGATGTCTTTAGTGCTTTTGGGAAGATACCTAGAAGGGGAATAGCTGGGTTAAACCGAATTACTCTTACAAGAAATCTCCATACCAATCTCCATAGTGGTTGTACTAGTTTACACTCCCACTGACAGCCTCACCAACATTTGTTTGTGTTTAATTTCTTGATGATTACCATTCTTTCTGGAGTAAGATGGGATCTTGGTGGTGTTTTAAGTTGCATTATTCTAGTGGCCAGATTTGAGCATTTTTTCATGTATTTTTTGGCCATTTGTACTAATTCTGAAAATGTCTATTCATTGTTCATTTTACAGTTGGATCTTTTATTTTGGGGGGTGCTAATATTTTTGAATTCTTTGTGTATTCTAGATACTAGTCCTCTGTCCAAGGAATTCCAGTTTACAGAGCTATGGATAAGGCTTCCCTGGAAGTTTAGTATTCTTCTCCTATAGAGATGTTTCAGATTTTTAAGACTTCTTTAATCTGGTTTCAGTCTGACTTCTCAGACTGAGTCAGTTTCACAGATTTAGATTTTATTTTTCCTACTAAATCTGCCTGTTGACCATCTCATGAACAATAATACATGCCTTTCTGGCTTATGTGTTTTCCTTCATCTGTCTTTTGCTGGCTCTCCTGTAATCCCTCCCTCTTCCCTCTTCTTCCTTCACTCCCTCCCTCTCTTTGAGGTACTGAGAGTTGAACCCACTAGGAGCTACATTCTCAGTCCCCTCTCCCCTCCTTTTGAGAGAGCTCTTGCTAAGTTAATGAATTGTCCAGCCTGGGCTAAACATGGTAGTCCTCCTGCCTCAGACTCCCAGAGTGCTGGGATTACAGGTGTCCATTCTCACACCCGGGTCTTAACATTTCTTTTAATGAGTGACAGTCCTCATTGTTGAATTGTGTATTAGACTTTAAATGTCCCAGTGTTAGAAGTTGTAGTTTTTTGTTTTGTTTTATTTTTTATATAGCCTGTTGCTGTGTAGCTCAGACTGACCTCAAACTCATTGTGTAGCCCAGGATGACCTTAAGCTCAAGATCCTCCTGCCTTAGCCTGCAGAGTGCTGAGATCATACGCATGTGCCACCACATCCAGTAGATGTGAAACATGAACTGGATGTGATTTGTCTATAGGCCCATGGTTTTTGTTTTGTTTTATGTCTTAAAATAACTTCTAGTTTTTCATGTGGCTAAAGTGTGGTGAACTTGCCAAAATGAAGACAGCAGTAGATTGGCTATGTTTATTTGGGGGCACATGGTAGGAATGAGGAATCTTAGGATGTGGGAGCTGGAACATTACATTTGTATTGTAATGGTTTTTAAATCAGGAAACTCAAATCAGCAGAGCTGTGGAGAAGTTAAATATCTTTCTTCAAAGCACAGATAAGAATGGTAGGAACAGAACTCTGATTTTTCTTGTCATTTTTTTTCAATCGTGTGGTTTCCTTTTGGTATTAGAATTAACATTTCTGATTTTTTTCCTTTTAATTAAATAATTTGATAAATTAATTAATTTGATAACACCAAACCAACTTCAGTTATGCTTTTGTTGTGCAAAGTTCAGAAAGCAGAAACATAGTGAGGAAGCACAAGAGGTTGTATTCCACGCTTCCAATGCCACTCCAATTTGAACATAAGGGTCAATCTCACCATGTCTGATTGATAATGTGTTAAAGGACCATACATTCTCTGTTTCAACTTGCCTCTTGTGATTGCGCAAAAATAAAACTTGACTACACAAAATGATGAAAAAAGTGAATGCTGGTTTGAATTTATGAAATGAGAGATTAGGCTTCATTGGGAATCTCTTAATAGGGGAAAAATTGTTAAACCTCCAAGATAAGGAGCGTCAGCTCTCTTGATGTGCAAAGCATACTCTGAATTTTCATGAGACAGTGTTTACTCAGGAAAATATTCAACCCAATGGGATAAATATGTTCTCTAAAAGCTGTGCCTGCCCCTCTGTCACAGAGGTGGACCCTTCCTGAAGACCCCACCCTGGGAAGTGCTGAAAGCTTGGAGATGTGTCAGGAGTTTCCTACTCCTGTCGTTGCAAAGTTTTAGTTTTGAGTCTGTGTAATGTAGGTTGTCTTATGCTCCCTTTTGTGAACTATCCTGGACAAGTCACTTTTATCAGCCTGGCCTCATATTCCTCTTTGAAATATGAAGAGATTAAACTGTGAACACACCTTCATTCTCTAAGATTCTCTTATTCAGCCAAATACACACACACACACACACACACACACACACACACACACACACGTATATACATTTTTTTTTCTAGAACTGGGGATTGAACTCAAGACCTTGTGATTGCGAGGCAGTGTTGTGCCACTGAGCTAAATCCCCAGCCCAGCTGAATATATTTTTAGTTGAATAATTTTTATTTGATGCAGAGAGGAATAGCAGCACCTATAACCAAAGAAAGAAAAAAAATTTTGTGGGGTTACAAGGGAGCAAGGAGAATTCAGGGTAGATTTGTTCATTGTCACCATTTAGTCTTTCTTTTTTATGCTCCTTAACCTTTTGGGAGAGAGTGTGTCTTTGTTTTATGAAAGAAAAATGTGGATTTCACATTCTACCCCGTCTTAGACTAGATGCTCACTGTCCTGAGCCCACAAGAAGACACTGTTCATGTGTTTGGTTTGGACCCAGAGTGCAGTGTGACTCTTCCTGTTCTGTTCTTTCAGCTTGGATTTACTTTTGGCAACGTGGTGGGAATGTACCTCGCTCAGAACTATGATGTAAGTGGCCATATTCATGTCTTATTTAATTCTGTGTAACTATTCCATAGTCTCTTTTCTTTGTTGAGGTAAGTTGCTTAAGTGAGGCCATAAATATGAGGAAAAAGTCCTGAATTTTATAGAAAGTTTTCTATGTATTTGAAAAACATAATCTAATGCACAGAAGCTCTGTCCTCTATCACCACAGGAGGGCAAGAGTCTATCAGTTAAGGTGGTCTCAGGAGGAACCCAAACTGTTGTGTGTTAGCCCAGAGACCTTCTAAATTGGCTCTGGGGAAAATCATGGTCTGTGAAAGTTTAAAGATTAACTGATAATCTTTTTAGCTCCTTTGCCCAGTAGCAGAAACGTCTTAGAATTTTGGGCATGGATCTAAGCAGTGTGAAGTGGGAATCACAGCATTAAGGTTATTTGTAGATGGGGAAGTTGAAGATCTGGTGGAGCAACTGTCCATGGGTGAGGGTCCTAGAAGGTATTCTAAATCAACAAGTAAGGGAAACATGAACTCGTGTGGTAAGGCCTTTCCCTTTGTCGGCCTTTGCTTGAGTCATGGTTCTCTAGCAGGGTCTTTCTTGCTTTATATCACATTTACTGCTTACATGTGCAGCTTTCACCTGCGTTGAATTGAGGGCTAAGTGTGTCTCTGCAAGTGAAAGTCAGAGTCTGTTTAGAGAGGGACCAGTAGCTTAAAACTTTTGCGATCCTTCACTTGTTCTTACAGGCTAGAAAATAGCACTATTGAGCAGGTTTCCTTCAGAGAAAAAGAAAATTTCATGAAAAACCATTTATTCTTGGAGGAAGAGTAATCAAAGAATATTTAGTAGGTAGATGCAAAATTATAATAATCCTTTTTTCTGTTTCAAGATACCAAACCTGGCTAAAAAACTTGAAGAAATTAAAAAGGACTTGGAAGCCAAGAAGAAACCCCCTAGCTCCTGAGGCTACTGCAGCGCTGCGTTCTGTACACACTGCCCTCCTGCCTCTGAGCGGCCTCCCTCACCTGATCCCACAGCTCTGTGTCTCCCAGCCTCAGCGATTTTCCTCTTTGCTAGACTGCATTGCCTTGGAGCAAAAACAGGGCCCTAAGTCAAGAACTACCCTTCATAGTTTCAGCTCCTTAGGTCTTCTCATGTCTTCCTTCTACCTCTATGGGGGGCTTGAAGACTAAAATTATGGTGCTAGGCTAGGTTGGCAAGCATGACCTTTGTTTAGTAGCTTTCCCTTGTTCTTTGGGATTCCTACTTCTTGTCAAAAGAAAAATTGCTGAGTTTGTATAGCTGATCAGACACAAATAATGCTGAATTCTTTAGTGATTACAATGGGTGCTTCTTAAATACTTGTACTAAACTTTGTTTTGAAGTATTAAAATTAATATCTAGACCCCAGTTTCTAGTGAATTATCCATTTATTTTATATTCTTGACATAGTTGATAACCAGTAAGTAAATCAGTTTTCTATTAATTGAGGAAAATGTATTCTAAAATCTTTATTTTTTTTTCTAGGAATCTTTAAATAGCTGATGAATTAAAAAATATGCAGAATAGTTTTGTCTCAGTAGTGGTCATAGTTAATTATTAAGTATGCATGTTTTTCCTTAATGATGTATTTGATTTGACTCTTCTCTCAAAAGAATCATTCTTAGGATTACAGGTACATTTGACATTACATGATGGAGTTGATAAAAGAAATGTTAAGACTTTCCACATTAAAAAAAATTATTGCCAGGTATGGTGGTGCACACCCTAAGTCCCAGAGCTTGGGAGGCTGAGGCAGGAAGATCACTGTGAATGTGAGGCCAGCCTGGGCTACATAGTGAGTTTGGGGCTAGCCCACACTACACAGAGTTTCAAAAATCTTAAAAATACACACACACACACACACACACACACACACACACACAGTAAAATTGTTTACACTGCAACTCTGATTGTTTCATGACTAGTATGGTCCACATGCATAATCAGCATCTCATCCAAACCTGGTGGATTACATTCCTAGTCTCTGTACTCTGTGAGGTTGAGGCAGGAAGATTGCAAGTTTGAGCCCAGCTTGTGCACTTTAGTGATTTAGTGAGACCCTGTCTCAAAATAGGGATGTAAGCTCAGAATGAAGGCCTTAGTACTACCAAGCACACATGCACATACACAAACATGCACAAAACCCCGACATGTCAAATAGAAGGATTTTGCTTCTCTCTACAATGGATGATTTTTTCTTTTCTTTCTGTAATCAGAAATTACTCTTTTAAATTTTAATTTGCAACTTATGTAATTTTTTTCCATTAAGTTTATCGGTACATTTAAAGCAAACAATACACTTAAATTTATCATTGGGATTATACCTTTATATGATATATCTTGGTTCTTGTTTTTTTCCCCATATACCTGCATTCTGTAATTCTTTTTTTCCCTTTGGAGGTAGTGTCTCACTATTTTGTCCAGGCTAGTCTCAAACCCCCTGGGCTCAAGTAATCCTCCAGTTTCAGCTTTCTAGATGCAGAGACTATAGGAGCACCTGATGGTGCATGGCTAGTCTTTATTTAGTACGACTCATCCTTGTGTGTGGCAGATGGGTTTGGCTCTCCCTGTCAGTGTATACTGTATGAGGGGGTCATACTGTCTACTCGTAGGGTTTCCATAAGAATAAGATCGTGTATATGATGACACAAATTGTTCAGTAAGCAGATATAGTCCAAACATGCTGCTGCTGCTGCTTGTGTTTCTGCAGTCACTTATGGAAACATTTCATGTACTGTGCAATATACATATGTCATTAGATTCTGTGGTTAGTTTTTTAGATATTGATGAAAATTTGCAGTATACCACCTGACTAACAAGATTTGATCTTAAAGGACTAAGTTAGTAGAATGAACTATAGCCTTAAAGGATAAAGGTTTACCAACCTTGAGGATAAAAATGCCAAGGCTTACTTAGCAAACTGTTTCCAAAAAAGGATTCTCCTTTTCAGCCATGAAAGCACTGTTACTATATGTGTGGTCTCCCAGAATTGCTGCTTTGTGGACAGTGGTCACTTAGAAGATGAGGTCTCTTTATGTCATACTTTGAAACCAAAGCTCACTTGAATTTAGGGCTTCTTCATAAGTGATGCATACCTTTGCTCATAGAATCATTTCTACCAGAGGTGTCAACCAGCAAATCAGTCTTTAAGTCAGCTTCACACAAATCAGCACATACAGCAAAACAGGTTGATTTCACACCCACTGTTCAGATTCCTTCTCCTTTTACATTCTTGCGGCAGTGAAAAAGAGTTCACACTTCTCAGGCAAGGTGATCTGAACTGAGATATATATTTGAGGAATGTGGAATCATGGATTTTAAGGTGTTGAATGGGTTTATGTAGACTGATGGATGTTTTGCAGGAACCCTTGCTGCACAGACGAACAGATAAGGACCACCAAGCTGTGCCATTTGCTTTTCCTTAAAAAATGCTTGAAAACTATTGATGTGCTTTAGGGAAACTTGCCTGACTACAAAGGGAGGGTTACTCAAAATACTATAGATTACTCTGACATGTCAGGATTGATATTGGAAACTTAACAAATACATTAATATAAAAGACTTAAACTGTAACCTAAACAAAGGGTGACAAAAAGAAATTAACCATATTTGGGCCTAGGATTTAGCTCAGTGACACTGCACCTGTCTTGCAAGTACAAAGTCCTGAGTTCATCCCCAGTACCAAAAAAAAAAAAAAAAAAAAAAAAAAAAAAAAAATTTTAAATTAAGAGCAAAATTTTATGAGTTGAAGTTAATAACATCTTTAAACTTTTTCTTCTGATTAACAAATGAGGACATTAAACAATATCTGCTTTTGATTTCAAAGAGTAATTTATTTCCTTTTACCAACCTAATAATTCTCATTCATATGAATACAGAGAAAAGCTGTGTGATTTTCCTAGTTGTCTGTGCATATGGACCATAGAGCATATGGCAACATGTGTAATGTTTTCATTTCCACCAGCCAGTTCACCCCCTAGATACTCTGCTGCTGTTTGTTTTTCTGCCCAGGCATTTTATAGGCGTTCTCTGAGTTATTCCTCCTGGAGGAACACCTACTGGGGCAAATGAGACTTTCCTTAAACCACCAGTCTTGGGTTTTGCACATTTCTTCCATTTCTTGTATAGATGAATTAGTTCTTTTTTCCTTACTGTTAGGGCCTTGACTTGTAGAAAGGAACAGGGTGGTGAAGGGAAAATCTTTTGAGACCTTGCCTGGTCTTAATAGGGAGTTTGTGGCACTTAGAATTTCAAGTATTTAGCTTGTATCTTTCCTAAGTCTGGTTGAAATGTATTCAGTCAAGAGCCAAAGACCTAATAGATGGCATATTGTGCAAGGGACTGAGAAAGAAGAAAGAGCTGAAAGGGGGCTGGGATTTAGCTCAGTGACACCACACCTGCCTTGCAAGTGCCAGGTCCTGAGTTCCATCCCTGGAAGTGCAAAAAAAAAAAAAAAAAAGAAAGAAAAGCTGAAAGAAATTTTTATACAGAGTGCCCAAAGTAGGCTGTTGTAAAATCTGGGTCCTGGGCCTGCCACAATCACTGCTTTGGTTTTTAGGACTATGTGAAGGGTGTGCAGTTGCATCTTAGGTGTGTACCCGTACAGGGTTGGGGCAGAGGAGCTGTGTCCAGCAGTCCTTCAGTGAGAGGAGCCCAGCACAGGCCACCTGTGTCCTCAGGTCCCCTCCCTTGCCTTTGTGTTTTGGTGTTTTGAGTGTCTTTCAGTACTGAGAGGTCCTGGCATTTGGAGATACTGTTTGAAACAATACAGTCCGTTTGTGAACAGCCAGCGATGTTGGTCCTTCGGTAGCCACAGGGAGTTGGTTCCAGCCCCACAGCTGTACTCTTGCAGATACCACAAGCTGCAGGTGCTCTAGTCTCTTACATGCAACGGTACGGTATTTACATCTGGCCTTTGCACATCCTCCTGTTACCCTTTAGATTACTTGCAATAGCCAATACAGTATAAATAACAAAAAAACTTAACAGATGCAGTTCTTTTTTAAAACAATTTTTATTTTTTCATTTTTTTTTTTTTGGTTTTTTGAGACAGGGTCTCACTATGTAGTTCAGACTGCCCTGGAACTCACTGTGTAGCCCAGGTTGGTCTCAAATTCACAGCGATCCTCCTGCCTCAGCCTCCCGAGTGCTGAGATTACAGGCATGTGCCACCATGCCCGGCTGATGAAGTTCTTTTTAAATATTTTTTATTTGAGTTTGGTTGAATCCACTGATGCAGAATCTGTGGATATAGAGGGCCCAGCCATCCTTCACTTGATGGTCAGGTAAAGAAACGTATCTATTCTGACAGTGGAAAGAAAAGTAGTGATTTTGAAAATTGAAAGATTGATAGTGTGCAAAGGTTTTTGACATAAATGCCATTGTGAAAGATTGGATGCCATGTCCTTTAAGGGTAATGTGGTGGAATTTCAAACGCAACTTTGAGCAAATTTGATACATAATTGAGAATAAATTACAACTATAGTTAGTGTCTGGCTCTTGGTTTCATCATCTGGAGAGTGAGCTGGTATTAGATGACCATTTAGAGCTATTACATCCATATGGTGCAATGTTAGAAGATAAAAATCAAGTTGTAGCATCAAGAGACTACTAAGAAGGGCTAGGAGATAGCCCCACAGTGGAATGACTTTAGGTGATGGGACTGCCATCTCCAATGACTGGCACAGGCCATCTTGTTTGCACCAAACCTCTGGACTTGGGAAGGAACAATGGTGGTTCTGAGGGTGGTCTGTGAACCACACAGTAGTGAGGAGCCAACTAAGGGAGCCCTGGCAGTGGCTGCTGAGACAGCTGGCATTGCTTCCCTACAGGAGTAACAGGCTCAAGCAGCTGATCAGTGGCCAATAATTCCAAGTGTACTTAATTCTAAGTTAACTTTTTCCTTTTCTTACTGTGTTCCCAGAATCTTACTGACTTTTTGTGCCTTTGTCTTATCATCTGGCTTAGGGGCTTAGAGTCTGAGTTCAGTAATGGTTCAGAAATGGGATGAGGTAGTTGACTGGACAGCAGCAGTAACACCCTGACTCTTGAGCATGCTGAAGTAAATTGATTTGCAGGAAGGCTGGGATTATCAAACCAATGGTAGCGTACCTACGCTGGTGTTTCATTTGTGCTCATTATTATAATTGGCCAAATGTTGGTTAAGCCAGTTCACTGGGCAAAAGCAGCGACACTCCTGGTTAAACCTGGCCAGTCACATTCTGTGGTTGGAGTGTTCATGTGTTGACTGGCCTAAAAGAAGTGTTGTAACACATATTCCCTTGACCAACTAAAAGTGTGATTTTTATAGATAAATTATTGTGGGCAAACCACAAGCTATCAATAGTTTAAAATCAATTAATACAGTGTAATAACTATGGGAAACTCCTTTTCCCCTAAGGCATATTTAGCAAGCCTTTGATGGTCAAAATAAAAAATAATGTAATGGCAGCAAACTGGAAGAAGAGAGAGCTATATCCAGCAATGAAAATGGCATGGTCTAGAGCAAGAAGGAGGCATTGGTTGGCAGTGATTTTTCTTGTCAGGGACATTTATTGAGCAGCTACATTTTACAACATTGTACATTTTTTTCTTCTTGTAGTTGGAGGATCTAACTGATGGCCTTGTACATGCTAGGCAAATTCTCTACCACTGAGCTAACTCCTCAGCCCTGGCTTACAACATGGTAGATGTTTTCTAGGCACACTCAAGATGTACAGACATCTCTGTCCTCTCAAAGGGCTCACTCACATGTAGGAAGTGACCTCTGAGTAGAACCTTTGTCTACTCAGGATAGGAGGTACTCATTAAAACCAGAAGCAAGCCAGTATAATAGTAATAATAATGTCTTGGTCTCAGTTGTAGTTTTAGTCTTTACAGTTAAGACCAGTATGAAGTTTTCCTCCCACACTTGGCTAAACAACGGTATTTCCCTTTGGTATGGGTAGAGGGAGAGATGTTAATCACAGTGTGTCTTTTCTCTACTTTTTCTTTTGACAAAATAATGTCAACCTTTTTCTCAAGCAGAACATTTTTCTTTACAGGAATTTGGTGCCAAGGTAAAGGAAAGCCATTGAAGAGAGCTGTTAAAATTGAATCAAAATAGTGATAAAAAGAGTAAAGGACCTGCTAAGAATTGCTTCTTTTGTGAAGGAAATTTACAGTAGAAACACTTGAGATGGCTCGAGTTCCAGGTCAGGTTTTTCCCCAAAAGAGACATCACTAATTTCTCTGTCTGCAAAACTAGAACGATTTGGGTGTCTCCTTCAACTCCTGAGAACATCTTACATAAACCCTGGGGAGGCTGGTCAGCTTGTGAGGCCTTGCCCCTAGGGAGCAACTAAGACAGGCTTTCTTCTTTTCCTGGCTTCAGAAAGAGTCGATCAGGAGGACTAGACACACAAAAGAGAGAACAGTTTTGGGTTTTCTTGACCAGTGGTGCTAAGGCAGGTGGGTAGGGGAGAAGATCCCAACAGCCAAGGACACGGCTGTGGTGGCTGGAGGAACCCTGATTTTGACTGAGGTGGTAGATGGCAGATCTTCTGGCAGGGATACCCTCCAGCCTGGGCCTGGGTGTGCTCCCAGTCGTTTCTTTGTGGTGCAGATTTGGCCAAGTGCAGCTCCTTAAGCCCAGCCAATTTGTCTACTGGTGTCAGGCCTGATCAGTGATGTTACTGACCTTAGCCCAGGCTGGAAAGGTGTCCAGGTGGAAGAGGCTAACTCCCCAGGTGTTGATGGCTACCATCACTATCACCAGGCCAATGACGTTGACTCCCAGGCCAGCTTTCACCTGCAGACACAAGCGAACAGTACACCCCATCCATCGTGACCAGGTGGAAGCACATGTCCCTAAGAGAGTCATATCTAGGCCCTCAGCTTCAGCCTTGCTCTACCCATGGGGCCCTGAATGTTGTCATTGCCTGGACTGCTCTTGTTGCCTTTTCAGGTGGCACAGGACTCTGGAAGACTGGAGACGAGGGTTTGGGGTGGGCTCAGGGAAATTAGAATCATCTCCACTTCTTGCCAGCAATATTTAGTATACAGTGGACATTGTTACTTGGGACACTGATCTTGGAATGGTAGATATTTCTGCAGTGATGTGGTAGGGAGAAGTGGTAACACAAACATTTTTTTAAAGCAGGAACTTCTCAGAGCCTTTTCTGTGCTCACACATGAGGAACTTTTAGGAGAGATGTTATATCTTGGATTTGAAATGCTTCCAAAACTCATGTGCTAGGCTTGACTATAAGCTGATGTGTTTTAGGGGACCTGACTGGATCATGAAACCAGTGGGTTTTGGAGTGAATATCCCTTCTACTATGCAGAAATGGAAGCACAGATCTGTGCAAGCTCGTGCCTCCTATGCCTGTTCCAGGTTTTCCCATTTCCATTTTCTTCCAGGTAAGGGTGAGGAGAACATATTACTGCTATTCTTAGAGCTATGGAACAACCGAGAGCCTTTATTCTCTGATCCTGTTGACAGATCAGGGATATCTACAAAATAGTAAACTTCAGGAGACAGCTGTGTGACCAGCCATCCCTACCCTTGAGGCACTGGGCCCACAGAAGAGGCTGCCTACCACTCACCATGTCTTTGATTTGGCAGTGTCCATAGCTGAAGACGATGGCATTGGGTGGGTTGCCCACTGGCAGCATCACTGCAAAGGAGATGCACATGGTGACTGGGATCAGGGTGTAGAGTGGGTTAATGTGCAGCGTTTCGGACTAGGAGAAGAGAGAAGTCAAGAAACATTAACTGAGATTGAGCTTACATTTCCTGGGCACAAATATGCTTTAAATGGTAGCTTGGTTGGGTAACCTTAGCTGGACACCATGAGCTGGGGCTAGTGAGGTCCCTGTCCTTTGGGACACACAATATTCTTAGTGAATGGGCCACTGCTATTCACTTGCTGCCCATGGAAGCTCAGGTAGTTATAGAAGGGATGTTTGATTTTTTGCTGCTACATCAAGGAAGTGGTTCTTTTGTTTTTCTTTCTTCTCTCCCTCTCTTTTTCTTTCTTTTCTTCCTTCTTTTCATGTTTTTGTTTCGCAGTACTTGGGTTTGAACTCAGGGCCTTCACACTGAATTACATCTCCAAATCTTTTTATTTTTAGTTTTGAGATGGGGTCTTGCTAAATCACCAAGTTGTCCAGGTTGGGCTCAAACCTGCGATCCTCCTGCCTCAGTTTCTAAGAGTGATGGGATTATAAGCGTGCACCATCATACCCTTTATTGAACTTTATTCTTTAGCTGAGAAATCCTTTTTTTCAAACAAAATTCTCACAAATAAGCTGCTTTGAATGAAGCAAGGATTCCTTACCCTTGTCATGAAGAGCTGAGGGTATTTTCCTAGGGAAAATAAATTGCTTTATTTGGGATTGAACCCATGGTGTTGCTCTCAGTGTTGCTGTGCTTTCACTAAATGCACTCTGGTGCCCACACGATGAGATGACGGATGAGATAAATTAAAGACACTAAACAATGAGCAGAGAGAGTGACTGGAGAGATTTTGGGGTTAGAGCACCAGGAGCCTTTTTTCCTGGGGATGGGTGGGGGTTCCACCTTCTGCAAAGGGACAGATACAACATGGGTGTTATCTTTGGGGCTTCTTTGCTAGGCCAAAATCTGTCAGGTACTGCCTTCTGTTCTGACTGGTAAAATGAAATACTGCACAGGCAGAGGCTGGCCTTATCCCAGATGCTCATCATCTCCCAGGGCACAGTGGAATTGGGTGGAGGTGTCAATGACTATTAGATCTGTGCGCTTAGCGTTTGCAGCTGTGTATATTTTATTTTCGTTTACTTTGATTACTTCCATTTTCTATGGTTACCCCTCTGGGACTATTGTTAGATTTATCTCAGGAGAGAAGAGTTGGTGGTGATTGTGGGGAAATGGAACTCTAGGGTTTTAAGGTTATTATGTCCATTCTCTTGTTTTCATTCAGGCATTCCCTTGAACTAATGCTCCTCTTTTGGAGTAGGGTTTCTAAAACTTTTACAGTGATTTATTAATATATATTCTTAGGTATTAATTGTCATTTGACAGGCTTCAAGATATGATTTGAACCCCAGTCAGTGAAGGCTGTGGGAAGCTGCTCCCCCGAGCCAGGCCTTCGACCAGGGCCCTGGTCTACTCACCAGGCTGCACACAATGGGCAGGAAGATGGTGATGGTGGCCGGGTTGCTGACGAACTCTGTGACGATGGACACGAGAATACACGCCAGCAGAGTGACAGCCCACGGTGGGAGGCTGCTCAGGCACAGCATCTGCTGCCCTATCCATGTGGAGAGGCCAGAACTCTGTAGAAAGAGACGAAAGGGGTCAAGAGGAAACACATTCCAGAAGGGTTCTTAGATTTCCATAGGTCAGAAGCACTGGCTGGAAGAGACCACTTGGGCTCATCCAGTCCGTCGTTAGTCTGACCAGAAACGGAGGCTGCCTCATCTTAGGATTCAGTGATTTCTGTGACCTAGAATTGTCTTTCCTGTAATTTTGTCTTTCAGTCTCTGGGTTTCTGGTCCACCAATCATCACAGTCACCTGCCCTATTGCTGTGTCCCTTCCTAAGACTCTGGCTTGGGCAGGGGTTACAGGTCTTTGCCCCTCACGCTACCCCTCAATGTCAGTCTCCCCCTCTCTCCAGCTTCTGATTTCCTTGATCTGTGTCTCAGTTCAATACTTCTCTTTCCACAGAGAGCCAAGTTCATCCTTTTTTCTGCTTTTGAACTCCATTTCTTTTATCATCTAAGCAGGGAAACAAACTTCTTCAGATAGTAATTTTTCTTACATTTCATTTTTTGGGTGTGTAGGACTGAACACTAAGGTTCTTATGTGTAGCAAAGGGTGAGGCATTAGAAGTCTGTCTCCATTTACTGGCAAAGGTTCCTCACTTGCCTACAGCATAGTTGTTCAGCCCAAATCTGTTTCAGGTTCAAGTTCCATTTACTGGCTGCCACTGCTTTTGAAAGATTAAATCTTTTGCAGTAGCAACATTTATACATATCTGTTCAAATACATATTTCCATTTGAAATAATTTGTTGGGTTGGAAGATGTTCATCTGCCAATGGTGAGGGCTACCCCTTGTCGCCTAAAAAATGAAGAACTGAGGTTTTTGTTTTGGTACTGGGGACTAGATTGAATTTAGGGCCTTTGCATTGAGCTACACCCTTAGTTCTTTTTTAAATTTTTGAGACAGAATCTCTCTAAATTGCTAAGTTGCCTAGGCTGGGCTTGAATTTGATCCTCCTGCCTCAGCTTCCCAGAGTGCTGAGATTATGGTTGTGTGCCCCATGCCCAACTACCATTGAGTTTTTGTACTAAAAACCCTCAGGTTGCCATATGCATTCTCCCTCTCTCCTCCTCTCCCTTGTATGGCAATATGCTCGGACTCTTCTAATGGTTCCCCTAAGAGACTGCAAAGGCAGTAAAGCAGAGGCGGGCAGGGGCAGAAAGGAAGGTGAGACATGTTATGACTCTTCCAGCTGTAAGTCCTGCTCCTCGTGTCTTACTGTTAAAGGTCACCTTCACCATGCTGTCTGCAGGTTCTTTCTCGAGCTTATCACAAGCTCATTTGATGTCTGCAGTACCCTCACCACCTCATGGCAAGCTCAGAGACAGCTGATGCTCAAGGCCTTCAGAATTCTCTCAGTTGTAGCCATTTTGGCACAGAAAACTTTTCTTCCTTTGTTCTTTCAGTGACTGAGAGTTCCAGACCCAGACTGTGGACCCTGTATCAATCCCTGGATAGTACAGCGCCTTGCAGCCCACAAGAACTCTAATTGCTCCCCCTTGCAACACTTGAAACTTTGCTCATTGGTCACAGGCAAGAGGGAAGAGCAGTTAGTGGAGTGGAAATGGTATATTTTATTTAAAAAATTAGCTTTATTTACCATGTTAATCATTTAGTAATAAAGTGAAACAATTTTATGGTAACTAATTTTCCAGCATAACTCTTTTATACTATAATTTTAAATGAATGGATAAATTAGATTGCAAAGTTAGAAAAAAACAGAGGAAGCCTTAATTTTTTAAAACCTTCATATAAAAACATTTCACATTGAATTTTCCTCACTAGTCCCAAAACTCTAAAATTATTTCAAAGTCAGTAGGGATCATATAGATTTTACTTGAAGTTTTATAGTATTACAATTAGTAGAATCAGTAGGCTTTACGGAGATAGCAACTGTAGTATCTGTAAGACATACATGATTTTGATTAAGGAAAAAGGTCTTTCTGTCTTAGACTCAAGCCAAAATTAATGAATAAAATTCATGAAAGATAAATATAATATCCTGTTCTTAGAATTAGAAATATTGACAGAATACGTACAGGTTGACAGAAGGGATTAAGGTTTAATAGTGGCTGCCAATAAAAAGAATGAGGGGAGGTAATAACTGCAGTTCCAACAGAAATGTTGACATGCATGTCAAGATGCCTTATAAAGGCTTCTATAAAATGCAGGTGGTGCTTATATCAGAGATGTCAGATGGGCTTGGTTAATATAACTAGTCCACTTTGGAGCACACTGACCACTCCAGACCGTGTTTGAATAAAACCAAAGCAAACTGGTGAGTTCTGAGATGAGAGGCCAGGATGGCAACCTTCTCGAAGAATGGTTATAAGGGCTAACCAGCTTTAGTTGGGAAAATAATCTAGCAAACTTATTTATTTTAATAATTAACTACCTAGGACAAAGTACCTAAGAATAGAGCAAAACCCAACATCAATGATGCACAGAAAGTAAAGACCATCTGGCCTGAGATAAAAAGCAGTTATCCTTCACACAAGAAGTGCCCTGTGCCTAAGAAGTCCAAGCCAGGGGTGTCCCAGAGAGAAATGTCCAGTTGGGGAGGAGAGGGTTCAGTGTCCTCTGAGGATCTTGTCCAGCGTAGGATTCTGTGACTTGGTGATCAGTGATGCAGCATTTCTGCCCACAGTGAACAGGCAATCAAAGGGAACATTTGGGATGGGTTGATGCATATAGACAAGGTGGAGAAGAAATAATCTGAATCTTAATGTGATTCATTCTTAGGATTGTTCTCTGTTTCAGAAAGTGCTCACACTTTAGGGACTTCAACTATTTCCCACCAGCTCCACTAAAATGATCTCATCCCAGATGTCCCCAACTAGGACATCAAGAAATTTTTATATCGTTTTCAGCAAAGATTCTCTGCATGTGCTCAATCTACATGTATGCATCAACGAAAGGGCAATCTGCTGCATCAGCACTTGGAGCATCTCTGGTGTCTTACAGACCCCACTATCAGACTCCAGAAGGAGATGGCTGCAAAACCTAGTGAACCTTTTGCTGGCAGCAGTGTGAGACCTGTTAAGGAGGTGTGAATGCCCATGTCTATGACTCAGGGCACAGCTGACCTGTTCTGTTCCCAGCAGCACTGGGAAGGTCAGGGAGGTCAGGACAGAATATCTGTCCTGATCTACTGCTACCCTTCTCCGTGACCTAGTGACCATGTATTCTCCCTCAGCTACCTTGAGCCTTTTCTCCCAAGGCTAGAGGTTCTAGAAGAACATTTGACCCATGAGAACAGAACTGAAGGATTACCTTGCTGCCAGAAGCCAGGGCATAGCCTCCTCCCACCAGGATGACAATCTCCCAGGGCATGGTTTTCTGGAAGTCCTTCCACGTGATGATGGGCTCTGTCCCCAGGGAGCACTTGTGGCTTGTCCCTGGATCACAGGAGGAGAGCAGTAGATAGCCAGATGAGCCTTGCCTGCTATGGTTTGTGGAGATGGGGACTAGTGGGTGAATTGGAGGATCTGGGAGACACCCTGCTGTTTCAGGGGAGGCTAAAGGGTCTCCTTTGGAATATTCTGACTTGGGCATGCCCAACTCTTCCCCTGGACCTCCCTGGACCTCCTCTTACCATTACTGTTTTTCCCAAAGCAGGGCTTCTTAGCTGGAATGAGGAAAAGTAGGAAGCCGAGGAAGACGGAGACTGTGGCATCTGTGCGGTAGCCTTTCCTAGTAAAGAGACAGCATGGCTAGAGGAGGAGGGTTGGGAATCCTTGGGAGTGAGCTTAGTCTCAGGACAGTCTGTTTGAACACAGTGCTATTTTTAGGACCTAGTGTAGGGGAGACAGCAACCTGGTTTCTCAGTTACTGCCGTGATGTGCCTCGGTGAGTTCATGGGCAATGGCTAATGTCTTGCTGCAGTGCCTGGCAAGTAGATAAGTCTCAGTGGGAGCTGATGGGCCTGTGAGTTGGGGCAAGGCCTAGAAGGAGTGATTGGGAGCTGTTCAGATGAGGAATAACTTATCTGTGGGGTCACACTCCTTATATGTCCCTCCTCAAATGAGAAGCCAGTGCTTGGGGCGCTTGGAGCTGTGTCTGGCGGTCTGGCCTCTTAGGGGCATTGGCAGTAGTGGCTTGAAAGCTGGTGTGTATCTCTCCTGGTGTTTTCTTCCTTCCAAAGCCTCAGCTCTGCAGAACTGTAGTCCCTTTACAGTTGGTACTTTAGGCACATTTTCTCCTTTAACTCTCACAGCAACCTGTGAGACAGCTGAATTTCCAGGAGCTCGTGTAAGAAAACTAAGGCCCCGCAGCTGGTCAGTGGCAGCACCAGATCCCCCCTACTGATGGTGGTTCCAAACACTGTGCCTCCTTCCCGACTCCACCCTGCTGCTTCCCTAGAATTTGGATTTCTTGGGAGACAAAGGCTTCCTGGCTTGTGTCTGCCCTCAGAACTCTTGTGGGAGGGACATGGGGCACCTGCTGGTGGTTACTGGCTGAGGTGGTTCTCAGTGAGGAAACTGTTATCACTTACTTTTCAAAGAAGGAATCCCAGCCAGGGACAAAGCCAGGCTCCCGGGTAAACCACAGCACAGTCATCAGGATGAAGAAAAATCCAGTCACCATCTCAGGGTAGCTATAAAATAAAACAAAAAGTCCTACTCTGTTGTTTATTTAATAACATTCAATGACACAGAACACATTTCGGTACAACTACAGTATATATTAAAATGGGATGCATTCATCAATAATCATGTTTCCACAGCAGAACTAATACTATGGGGACACAGTAACAATACAGTGTTAAATGAGAAAAGGCAAGATATACAGTATGAATTTTACCAAAAAGACATAATTTTGCATGGAAAAGTGTGGAAAGAACTATATTATCTTAACAGGTGCAAACAGTTAATTAACACTGGGATGCTAAAGAGTCCAAATCAGTTTTAACTTTTCCTTATACTTTTCTGTATTTTATAAAACTTTACAGTGAACATGTACTCCTTTTTTATAACTTAAAAGCTTTAAAGAATAAATTTCTACCAGAATTATTTTATCCAAAGTTGTACATGCCACTTGCTGTAAGAAGAGTAACAGCATTAAATAGAATGCTGTGTAAATGTCCATAGAAGTGGCGGAGGATTGTTAGTGATTTCTTTTTCGGCTGTACTGGGGATTGGACCCAGGGGGCGCTATACCCTGAACTAGGTCCCCAGCTCTTTTTATTTTTCATTTTGTGATGGGATTTCACCAAGTTGCCCAGGTTGCCCTCTAATTTGTAATATTTGGCTTCCTAAGTAACTAGGATTAACAGGCATGTACCACAGTGGGCAGCAGGTGTTCAGTGAATTCTTGGACCTTCTCTTTACAAGTCTGTATTTGATGCTGTGTTGTACTCTAAATAAAGCACCAAGTTCCCCATTGTCCAGAAGTGACCACTAGATCACTGTGGTGGCCCAGTTGAGCAATACAAGGCATCCCGACTTTGGCAGAAACCAGCATGTTCCACGAAGAGGGCTTATCTGTCTCTGCTTCTGCCCCATTCACGGGTTCCACCTCATGCCAAGATTACACCTCAGACTCCAAGTGCAGCCAAGGGGCGAGGCAGCCACTGAAATCCAGGCCAGCTGGGCTCCGACTTGAGGAGCAATGGACTTGTAGCTGTGGGACATTCCCCTGGGGCCAGGGACCGTCAGGAACAAGGCTGCTCTTGTGCTTCCCTTTGCAGTTGTGCTCTGTACTGGAAAGGGGCAAAGGGCTGCAGTGACTTTTACCTAATGTCTCCCAGCTTCTCATATTCCTCCTGGATCCTCCTCTCGGACAACTCTTCCCTCTTGGTCTTCTTCTTCTTGCTCAGAGAACAGGTCTCTCTAAAGCTGAGAAGGGAGAATGGACCCAAGAGTAGGGAAAACACGACTCTGAGGCCCGAAACCACCCACCGTGGTGCTCACCTTTCTCCTGCTCACTCCGCGCCTCCATTCCTCTCCCATTCTCACTGCTTCTGTCCGCCCAGTTACCCAGCCTCCCTCTCACCTTCCCCAGCCTTTTGGGTCTGTCCATCTGTGTCTGTCTGTGGTGTATCAATGTGAGGTGATGTCGAGGGACTTGGTTGTGCACATTGGGTTGTTTCTACACACTTGTTCATAAGTAAAAGAATCTGTGAGATCTGGTGTGCACATCTGCAAGTATGTGTGTCCCCCACATGCAGGTGTGAGTGTGTGTATATGTGCAGACGTTCATTTGTCTAGAGATAAGGCTTGTCTGGGTGTTAGTTTTAAATGAGTTTTTTTTTGTTTTGTTTTGTTTTTGGTACCGGGGATTGAACTTGGGTCCTTGCGCTTGCAAGGCAGGCCACCGAACCGCTGAGCTAAATTCCCGGCCCAAAATTCAGACATCCTCATACTAATCAGAAATTCTTTTTTTTTAGTTTTATATCACAGTATCAGAGCTACAGAAATACACAGCCATTACTCATGTGACCACAGTAAAGAGGAAGTCAGCCCAGAGGACATTTGACCAGTGGAGTGCTGGGCTCTATGGGCTGTTCAGTATCATATACATTTTCCCTTTAAGTGTTTGATCATACGGAGAATATGAAGAAAGGGCTTCCTAAGCAGATTATTATTAGAAATAACATGCCAAGAGATATCTCTCACTTGTTATTTTGAGGTATATGAATATATTCCTTACACAGAGTTCAAACCTGAAATTTGTCTATAAAATTAAACCTAAATCAGTGTTTACTTGGAATCATATTTCTAAGGGAACTTGGAATTACTGCATATACTTTGAGAACAGTGAAACTTCATTAAACACTCTGTAGTCCAGACTTTTTATAAATCATCCAGGCCCTCTAACCCGTTACTTTGAATTAAAAACATTTCATTGAGGAGCCAGGAGTGAAGTGCAGAGCGCAGAGAAGAGCAGAGTGATGGGAAGAGACCATATCGCACGGGTTCACTGCGCTGTCCTCAGAGCCCTCTGGGGTGGTGCTGTGGCCTTTGGTTGGATGGCAGAGCCATGGTGCCTTGCCGGCTAGTTGTGGGACTCACTTGCAGCCTAGAAACAGCCAGTGAAGCCAGAACCAGCTGATGACCAGCATGATGAGCGATATGGGAAAGCTGAAGAGGAACCAGGTGCCAAAGTTGACCACCTCTGCGGCTGGGTACTGGCTGGAGGGAGAGACCGGTCAGCAATTAGGAATGGAAGAATTCTGGTATAGCTGGTATTTGGAGGTGATAGCTACAAGGTCCTCAAGACATACAGCAAAGGCTAAGGAGAGGTAACAGTGTGGTAGGACATTATCTAGAACACATTTATTAGTTGCAGCTGTACAGAGGCCAGGTAAGCATCATGAAGTAAGCTAAACAGGTTTCTAAGCAACCAAAATCAGTACTACTTTGCACTCAGGATGTGATGGCCTTTAAATTACTTAAGTATTCTGGCTGATGAACTACTCATCCCCCTTTTCAGACCACAGGAAATGGAGAGGGCACTCTGGTGTTCTTTATTGTAAATTCACTGGAGGAATGTGAGTTTAGACAGGGGATGTAAGACAGTAGTTCTGGAGAACTTTGGGCTCTAGGACCTCATAAGGGTTATAGGTATAATGGTGCCCATACATGTGACTTGGAATCTCCAGGTATGTATACACACACACACACACACACACACACACACACAGAGCTAACCGTGGGCGGTCTGCTCACACCACCAGGAACCACACCCCAGGGAGAGTACAGTCGTGTGAGGAGCCCATGAGCCTCTCCTGGCTGTCAGGTCTGAAGCACCCTTTGGTGGTTCCTCCCTCCCACTCCTCCCGTCTTCCTCCTACTGCCTTTTCCCTTTCCTCTGCCTCTTCCCGTAACCTTTCTCTCCTTTTATCATCCCCCTTTTATCATCCTTCCCCTGACAGTCAACTCTCCATTTCCTCATCTCCATCGTACTCCTCAGCTCACTGACATCTGGCTTCTTTCTCCACCTTTTGACCAAAGTCCTCTTGCCTGGGTCACCAGTAACCACCCTGTCACCAAGTGTGATGGCTGCATTTCCCTCCTTATTTCATGCCAGTGTTCACTGACATTCAATACTGTAGTCACTCTCTTTCCTGAAGCATTTCCCTCCTTGAATAGAATGGCACTGGTATGACTGGATTTCCCCTTTCCTGTCTGATGAGAGGAAAAGTGTTTTCCAATGCTCTTTTTTTGTTTGTTTTTTGAGACAGGATCTCACTATGTAGTTGAGACTGACCTGGAACTCACTATGTAACCCAGGCTGGTCTTGAACTCACATTGATCCTCCTGTCTCAGCCTCCCGAGTGCTGGGATTACGGGTGTGTGCCACTACACCTGGCCTAGGATAGGTGTTTTCTTCTCTTTCGAAGTCTGCATTAGATATTTGAGCTAAATCTTCATGTCCTTTCCTCCACTTTATACCTTCCAAGTGATCTCTATCTGTATGGCTTCCATTACCAAAGGGAAAAATGGAAATGGGGGTCCCTTTCTCAAAGACTATTAATAATTTCTTTTTTCTCTCTCATTAAGTTTATTGGTACAATCTAGGTATACAGTACAGTTACATTCATCATTGGGATCTTGCACCTTTACATGACAGGTCTTGGTTCTTATTTTTTCCCCTTGTCTCTGCCCTCCCTTGACTATTAATAATTTCTAGAGAATAAGGATGTAGTTCAGTGGTAGAGTGCTTGCCTAGCATGCGTGAGGCCCTGGGTTCCATCTCTAGTAACCAAAAAAAGAAAAAAATTTTAGTGCCAACATAGAATTAAGCCAAGCATTGAGCCCTTCTGCAGGCCATGGCCTCCAAATCTATGCCTTCAGCCTAAATGTTCCCCTTGAGATTCAGAGCCTTATCGTCTACTAGATGTCTCAACCTGTGTCAACTTTTCAAAAAAAATCTCATTCTTCAGCTTATCCCTGTTTCCCTGGCTGTTAAAGTCAGGAGCCTGAGAATCAGCTTGGTCTCTCTTAATAACCCTACCAAGACTCATCAAGTTACCTCTGAATAGCTCTCAGACTGACCATTTCTCATCGCCTCTGTCACTGTCATCGAAAGCTACCAGCAGCTCTCCTGGGTGACTGTAGCAGTGTCCTACATTGTCTTTCTGCTTTTTCCTTTCCAACTTGTTCAATCTTGCATACAGAAAGAGTTTTTAAAACTATAAATCTGCTCACCTCACTCCCCGCTTCACATTCAGTAAAGGCTGTCCACGGCATTTCAGATGATACCAAGCTCCTCCTCAGGCCTTGCCGAGCACTTTGGCCTCCACCTGTCTGCCTCCATGGCCTCCTCTGGCTTTCTATCATTTACTTGGTGTGCTCTGTTCTCTTGCTATGGAGCCACCTACACAGTTTTGTCTGGACAACCTCTCTTCATTTGGTCTTCTCTGGCTTATCCTTCAGGTATTCACTTCATCTCTACCTCTTTGGGGAGCCTTTTCTCCCGCTAAACAGGTGAGCATTCCTAGCTGAATCTGGGCCTTCTATGGTCACACTCAACTGTGAAGTCTCCCTTGTCTTTTCCCTGTTGGTTCAGACCACCTGTCTCCTCTGCTGCTACACCCCCTGCACTTTCCCAGGTCCTGATGCCCACTGAGTGGTCAGTAGGTATTTCTTGACTGAAGGAATGGCTTACTTGTTGAAATGTTCCAGGAAAATGAGACTGGTGGAGGTGCCAATGATGGTGGTCAGGCCGCCGATGGTTGCAGCGTAGGATATGCTCAGAGAGAGGCACTTGCAGACCATCTGGTCATGGTGGGACTTGCACTTTCTGTTCAGCTCCTGGTTCCTGGAGCCTTGAGTCAGGACTAGTGGCTTTTCCTACGAAAGGAAAAAAGACAGTTTGGGCTGTCCATCATACAGAGCTTGAAGGATGGGAGGCACCATGGTGCAGAGGAAAGATTTGAGCTTTGGTATCAGAAAGCTAAATCCCAGTTTCTGGGATTTAGTCACTAGGGCATGCCTTGAGGTGTAGGTTCTGCTTCTGTAAAATGGGAAAAACCATATTTGCTCTGCCATATTGTGAAGAATAAATGAAGTAATAAGTATAGAGAACTTAGATCATGTCCTGGTATTTAATGAATATAAGCTATTACACTTTTTGTGGTTTAATATTATTAATACTGACAGTGTGGTTTGCTTTTTTACTTGAACTCCAGTAAAACTGGCTGCTGTCATTTGAATGATCAGGAGATGGTCATCCTCTGTGGAGTAAGAGTGACAGTCCTTGGATTACAGAAGAACCTAGCTTTCCTGGAAAGAAGGTTGAAGTGTGTAATTCTCTATTCCCTCTTCTCTGTCTTACCAATTGGCCTTTCCTCTGTTTTTTCCTCCCTTCTTGCCCATAAGCCTCAGCCTTGCCAGGGTCCTCTCAGAATCTGTTTTGTCCAGACAATGGGCTTTTCATGTCCCAGAGGTGCTGATCTCTGGTCTCAAGTGTGGACCAAATACCCCTTGCCCATCCCAGGCCTTGCTACCCTCACTGATGCTTCACAAGACGCAGAGAATCTGGTACAAATTTCAGCAAGTCAGGTCTTAAGAAAACCAGTGAGAGAGACCACATTGCCACTTTTCTCGTGGCTCTTTACCACTGTCCTGAATCATAGGAGGGACAAAGTGATCAGAGCTAGAAGACACCGCTGAGGGACTGAGAGGCTTCCCGTGATTCCCAATGTATAAAACATAAATGCATCATTGACGTGGCATCTCTCTATTTTGTAACAAAATCTAGAGGTCAGGGGATTTGAATCATGATGCACCTCTCATGAGGTCTTCATTTTTGGCTTATGAGTTCATCTCTCTGCCTCATTTACAGCCAAGGTACAGTACCAGGGAAATCTTTGTGCAGAAAAGCAGTTTCAGTGCAGTCAGTCTTGGGATACTAAAACAAAATATTTGCAACATCAGGGCCAGTGCCCCTGTGAAGCACCAGGCATGTTATGTAAAAAACAGGGCCAGAAAGTAGGAAGGATTCTGTTACCTGCAGTGGCTGCTGCTTCTTGCCTTGGTGTCGGTTTGCTGTCCTGATGGGCTTGGTGATCATGGGCACACCATTCAGGTTCTGTTAGGAGAGGCCAGCACACTATTAGGGAGAGGATGTAGTGACCCAGGTGCCTGGGGAAGCATCCCCTGACCATCCCAGGGCCACCTCATGACTTGGCACCATGGGGCTCAGAGATCAGAAGCTGGTGAAGGCATGAACTGAGAACACTGCCCAGGCCAGCCTCTGCACAGTTTTTGTCCACTGGTGTCAAGCACCCATCCCAGCAGGCTCTGGAAAGTTGGCAAACATGACTTTGTTCTGCTAGAAGAGCCTGACTTTCTGGGATATCACCAGTGTGAAAGACTTATTATTTCTTTATCACAAAGGAAAAGTTTTTTACAGCAAAGTCCACAGTGTTACTGGCCTTTTACACTTCTCCTAAGGACACCTAAAACTGGCTTTGGAGGGTGGGGTTGGGTTTGAGCAACAGCATGTGGGTGAACCTTGCTCTCCCCACAAATATGTTCCTTTTGGTAGTAAGATCTATAAAGGAATCCCCATTGACAAAAATCCTAAGTTTGAATCTGTGGCTCTTGAAATATGGATGACTGACTCTTGAATCTCCATAAGAAAGTTAACTTGTACCTTATGTGGCTAAACCCAGTACCTGGGGCTGGGGTTCAGAATACCCAGGCTCTTGCCAGGAGCCTGACCAGCCCTTCTATGTCCGATCTGTGTGAACCTTCTCCACTTTTACATCCACGGAGGCTGCTGGGCTGCAGGACAAGCTGCCAGGCATCTTGGGCCCTCAGTTGGCTTGAGGGACTCTCAAATGATCTCAAAGAACAGGAAAAACCTGAGGCCATACCTTGTTACACATGAGAGAAGTGAAGTCTGCTGATGATGTGCTGGAATGAAGCAAAGGAAACAGGGAAACTACAGTGGACCAGATTTCACGAAAGGCGAGTTCTCTTCCTCAAGTTAGTGTTTGCTGTAAGGGACTTAAACTATTAGATCCAGTTTCTAGCCTACAAAGAGGACTAATCTCATCCCAATCTTCCTGGCCTTTTCAATACTATAAAGATTCAAGGAACCATGAGGCTTGCTTCCTCCTGAATCAGGGGTAGCTTGCTCCTTTGAAGCAACACTAACACCGCTAGTAATATTGAGCATGCAGTGCTTATTAGGTGCTGGGCTCTTAGAAGATATACTACTCCTTATGACATTATTAATCCCTATAAGAGAGCCATGCTGCAGGTATCACTATACTACCCCCATCTGTGTCTTATTAACTCTGGGGTGTTAGTGGTGGACAGACAGGAGCAGAGAGGGCCTGTACTTAACGGAAAAGCAAGAGAGAATGAGGTATGGGAGAATTCTAGTCAGCAGTTGCACTTATGGGGACAGTTAACTGCACGTCTGAGTCCCTCCCACACCAATAGGACCCCAACTTTTGCCATCATGACAGAGGAAGATGAGAAGTATTGAAATTGCCAGCACCTTGAGTGCCCAGTAGATGTTTCTGGTGTGTCTTAGTCGAGAGGACAGTGGGTACCACTGTGAAGAGAGATGATAGTGTTTGAGAGTGTTGGATACACACGAGGGACATGGACAGGAGGGAGGACAGGAGTTGACAGGTTTGGAGTGGAGCATTCTTTTGAGAAGATGCCATATGTTTGCCTCCTTTCTTCCTAAACTGACCACACAGGGTAGGGTGTCCTCAGCTGGCAGGGAGGTGCTGGTTATGAGAACCCAACATAGTCCTGCCCCTGCTCCAGCTTCTGCCTTGGAGTATAGGCCACTACTTTCATTGGGAGGAGCAAAGGCAAGGAGCTGATATAGTGTGGCCAGAGAGGCAAGAGTGAGAAGAAAAGACCCAGGGCACAGGAGCAGCCTGAGCTTCTCAGGTAGGGAACACAGGGAAGGAGTTGGGCTAGAGCAACCTGGAAAAAGCCCTGCCCTGGAGGCAGAGCAGCTGGGAACCAAGGCTCAGTGGAGAGGCAGCCATTGAGACAGAGTGCCATGAAGGCGTGATGGCCACTCAAAAGCACAAGCCATCCTTGGGTCTGGGTTCTGCAGAGCTCGCCTTAAGGGGCTACTCCATACACCGTGATGACTGGCATCCTGGAGGAAAAAGACCCAGGCCTAAAACTCAGAGGCTCCAACCCTAAGCTACAGGCACTCCAGCCCAGATACTGCAACCCTGGAGAAGTCTGAACCAGCACGGCAAGTGGGCGTCAGGGGGAAGGGGATGTGAAGAATGCAAGGTCACCTCTAGGAGAGGGTAGAGTGAGCACAAGCAGAGGTATAGAAACTGGATGAGAGGTTGGAGTTCTGCTGTGAGTCTGGGCTGAACTTTGGAGTATAAGAACTGGAGGCCACTGTATCTGAAAGGAACTGGAAGTGCTACAGGTAGGGGAGAACAAGCTGACAGGCTGTGCTGGAAGACAGTGCTAAGAGAAAAGTAAAGGCATTTCCTGATGGCTTGCTTCTGCATCTCTTCGCTAACATATGCTGATTTCCCTCAGTGTGAGCCCCCCCCCCCGTATTTATCACAAAGACAAATTGAAAAGCCCATTATAAATCCAGCATTGAAATGTGTTTATCACAGAGTACCTTGAAGACCACATTTAATATACAATCTCCAAAAGAGATCAGCTGTTAGAAGATCCACCTCACAATGGATGTCTATGACTGTATTTTCCCTTTCCCAGCTTCTCCTTTGCACTATCATCTGGCTGTGTCACTCATTGTCCCCAGTCCCCTGCCTGTCACCTAATTTTTCTCTGCCACGTATAACAAGACCAAATCTGGTAAGACTATACCTAATATTTAGAAAATGTTTTGTGATTCTCCAAGAACCCCTAGTGACATCTATCACATGAGTGTTTTTCCATTAATAAATTATTTTCCTAAGAGGGTCATCAACTTTGATGAAATTATACTAGGTTACAGTATGAAGAATTCCTACATCCACCCAGATTTGGTGTTGGGTCTTTCTGTTTATCACTGCAATGTTCTGGGGTTAAGGGAGTTGCCTTGAGATCTTGGCAAGTGACTCCTATGGATGGAGACAAGACACCAAGCCTGGTCCATATGCCTGGAAGGGCTGTTTATGATACCATCTTTTCTGATCTCCCCAGTGAGCCCTGAGATCGAAACAGTCATACTTACTCCTCATTGACAAAGATGAGCTCCAGAGGAGGTTGGCTGTTGTTGACATCAAGATCTACAGTGACAAAGAAAGGCAGGAAGTTAGATGTGGAGCTGGAGCTGCTATGTGGGTGGGAGAGTAGTCCAGGGGCTCAGGGCTGGGAGAGGTGGTAGCTGGGGGATGACTCCCCTTCACTCTGCCCTGGAGTTTGAGAGGAGCTCGTGGACCCAGAGAAGCCCAGGGCTTTGTGAACATCTCGGGGCCAGGAGCAGCGAGGGACACCCATCAGAAGGAGGAAGGAAGAGTGGGGAATGGGGACCAAGGGAGCTGCAGGTTACATGGCTGGCATGGGTGAGAGGGGGGAGCAAGGACAGGGGAATATCATAGGGAAGACCTGCAGGGACCCAGGGAGGAGCAAATGTAAACTATACTGTACTGATGGGCTCAGCCTCTTCCGTGCTGGAGTTGCCTGCCACAGGCTGCTCCTCCTCAGCACTGACCAGCTCCTGCAGCACGGCTTCCACGATGGGCATCACCATGGCGGTGGTGGAGGTGTTGGACAGCCACATGGACAACAAGGTGGTGCAGCACATGAAGCAGAGCAGCAGCCTACAAGGCAGGGGGCAGGGCGCTGGCAGAAGGCCCACCTCCCAGGGCCCGTGGGGACCTCTGGAGTCTCCTATCCACCCGATGCTGCTGAGCTAAAGAACCATGACTGGCATTTGAACACCCAACTCGATGCCACTGAGCCTTCTACTCCCAGAGATTGGCATACAGTAAGCATGAATTCAGTATCTGTCTAACGAATGAAATGCATTTTGTGAGCTAAATAGCCAGGAAAGCCCTTCCTTCAGCAAAGAGTAGCTGTGCTAGGAGGGCCACAGGGTGTGGGCTTGCTGATTCCTCTCTCTCAACATCAGGTGGAGCTTGGTGATGGGCATCTCTTGTGTATAAGGGGGTTCTTGGTCGGTGGTTCCACGAGCACTATTCCATTCATGCAGCCAAGCCACCGTAGTCATAGAGAGCATGCAGATTAATGTTAGTGTCTCATGGTTCTGCCCCTCCTCATCCCATTGTCCGCATGCTGAAAATTATGTCGCCAAGTCATGTGTGCACTTGTGCAGGTGGGATCTCAGGGTCCATGCTTAGAAGAAAACATGAAAGGAAGTAACCTTTAAATTATTTCTCTTTGAATTTGAAACATTGTACATTGTGTGCTTGGACAGACATGGGCCTAGTTTCCATAAAATAAGCCAAAATAAAGGCCACCCCTGTTTACTCAGCACGCCTGGGAGGCTGAGAGGCGGGAAGATCATGAGTTTGAGCCCAACACGGGCAACTTACTGATGTAGCAAGAACCTAACTCAAAAACAAAGAAATAAAGAGTGATATGAGTTTGTCTGTCCTGCATGTGTAACAACCTGCTGGATGACGAAGAGACAGGACAAATCGCACAGCAGTTTTCAAGAGCCACGGAGCACCGATGGACCTTGAGGAAATGCTCCTGTATGCCTAGGACAACGGTGGTGAGCCAGGCTGCATCACTGAGAACCTTAAACAGTTCAGTGTCACTGGCCTAGGAGATGGAGGGTGGGTTCCTACGGTGATTGTTGGGTAAGGGGGCCTAGTAAACTGTCGTGAGCAGCCCAGTCAACAGAACGGGAGACAGAACTCACTCTGAGGCATCTGTGTCTAAGTGATATGTTGAAAACTAATACACTGGAGTTTATTTGTGCTGTGGCTCCCCGCAACAGTCAGGGCAGCTTTGTAAAACTCAGCAAGAACAAGGCGTCCAGGGTGTCAGAAGGGAAGGTGGAGGATGGTAGTGGAGGGTCACTGTCCACCTTGTCTGGCAAATGGAACAGTCTCAGGTCTATGGTCCTGAGTGACGTCAAGACCTCATGGACGGGAGGAAGTATCTCCTCCATCTCCTTGCATGATAAAGAAGACCTCTGTTTTTGTGTCCAGCTGTGTCCTAACACTCAGGAAAACGGGTGGGAAACTACTCCTGGGACCTACCAAGTGCTCCCTATGAGTCCTGTGATGCTGAACCTGCTGTCCTTGAGGCTACTGGGCAGGTAAACTGGATCTGATGATAAGGGCCCTGATGCGGGCTTGAATCTATCCTGCCAAGGGACTGCTCCTGGCGGGGAGGAGGGCTGTTACCCCGTCCCCACCAGAATAGCTGGCTAAAGTGATACCCGGCTGGCCATGGTTCGACAGCGGTGCCCTGGCGGCAGGGGTCGCCCTGTGAACTCACATGCCCGGCTTGGCTCCCGCCATCAGGACCATGCGCAGAGCGATGCGCTTGTGCAGGTTCCACTTCTCCACAGCCGCCGCCACGCAGATGACGCCCACCAGCAGCAGCGTGGTATTCTTGAAGTACTCAGCGGCTACCTGCGGGAGGCCGGGCAGGTCACCCTCCAGGCCTCGGGTCTGGCACCATGGGAGAAGGCACCGTGCCCGTGGCAATGGGGTTTGGTCACCGAGGCTGGCGAAGAGCCAGTACAGAGGCGAGGGTTATTGAAATAGCCCTTTCCCCGAAAATAAGACTTAGCCAGAAAGTAATCAGCCTTGAAAACTAGAGCATAAAAACTCCAGCCTCATGAGCCTCGCCTCGCCTGTCCTGCCCTCACTATGCTCTTGCTCAGTGGCTATTCTGTAAAACAAGATTTGTTTCCAAATCTTACTTTTAATGTTTTTAGATTTAAGTGAAATGAGTATATGCTAAATATAAAAAACTTCAAAACATAGAAAAAATTATAGACAAAATTACACTTAATCCTGTTATTGCTTATATCTTGATATATTTTCTTCAATTCAGGGCAGGTGTGGTGGCATATGCTGGTAATCCCAGACAGATATGGAAGACTGCAAGTTCAATATCAGTGTGGGCAATTTAGTGATTTAGCAAGAACCTATCCCAAAAAATAAAAAGCATCCAGATGTGTTGGCTGATGCCTGTAATCCCAGCACTTGGGAGGCTGAGGCAGGAGGGTTGCCTGAGTTCTAGGCCAACCTGGGTGACATAGTGAGTTCAAGGCCAGCCTAAGGTATGCAGGAAACCCTGTCTCAAAAAATAAAAATAGGGGCAGGGATTTAGATCAGTGGTACTGCACCTGCCTTGCAAGTGCAAGGTCCTGAGTTTGATCCCTGGTACAAAAAAAAAAAAAAAAAAAAAAACATTTGGAATATATTTTAACTTGACAAACAAGCAGTGTCATACAGTGGGAGTTGTACATGATGCAAAATGTCACATGATCACAACTGTGCCAATGGTTCCTCTCTCACTCTCTTTCTGTGGGATTGTGGATGATCAACATAATCCAATTGCACGAGGTTATAGAGGTGATCTCATCTGCAGAGAAGGAGAAAAAGGCAGAGAGAAAGCCCTCACTTCAGATGAGATAAGGGAGACGTGTAAAGTGTGAGAAACACTGCAAAATTTTGTAGAAAAGCACCACCTGAATAAGGCTGTAGCAGTGGGAGTGATGAATCTGTTGAACAACAATGCAACATCACATTTCCACAAAATCTTCAAAAGGAGGCTAAAGCAAGTATTGTTGGACAGGTTTCTTGCTATAGTTGCACATTAAAAAAAAAATCCATTGAGCCAATAGATAGCAATGGTTCTGTTAGTAATAATGAAAGTTGTCCTACACAGTATTACCCCTCCTCCCTCGTCTCTCTCACACCACCATGAAGGTTTTCAAAGGTAAATGCAGGTTAATTTATTTTTCTTTGTATTTTGTATATTCTTTATTATTTTGTGTTATATTACAGTACTGTAATCATTTTTATATGAATACTTTTGCGTTGTGTAAGGAATCATCTTAGTTTCCCCTACTTCTTGTGGTGAAACTCGCTTTGATATACAAGTGCTTTGGATTACAAATGTGTTTCTGGGATGAATTATGCTCTTGAACCAAGGTTTTACTATATGTTAAAATGGGGCATTAAGGGAATGAAAGAACAATCTGATCATCTGTAGTTGGTGGAAGCCTGATCTGGAAAGGAAGCACTAGGATCACACTCTGGGGTCTGGTGTTTTTGCTGAGACCTGAAAGTAGAACAGCATTCTGGGCTGAGGGAGAAGCAAGTTAACAGCCCTGGAATCTGTTTGAGGAAAAGGAAGAATATCATCATAGTTAGAGAGGGGCAAGTCGGGAGGAATGATATAAATGTCTTAAATCCTAAAAAATATTTTAAAACAAAATAATTCCAAATAGTTTTAAAGTTCCAAAAAATTCCGAAAGTGAAGATAGTACAAAGAATGCCTGTACCTTACCTGGCCACATTTTTTTCCCAGAACCATTTGAGGATAGGCTACCTAGGTTTTGGCCCTTTCCCCTAAATACTAAAACATATATTTCCTAAGCACTGAGACTTTCTCTTATAGAACCACAGTACCAGTTCTAAACCTCTTTCCTTTTGAATGATAAGGAAATTGAGATATAAGCTCAGTGAAGAGGTTTTTATATGTACAGATCTTCATGTGATCCCCTCGCTTGGACATTTTGCTTTCCTCTCTGGCGGTACATTCTGGTCACACTTCAGGTGGATGCAGAGATGAGACACACGTGCCAGCCCAGCAGCCTGGCCCTCGCACTGCCAGCCCAGACTTCAGGGAAACTTCCTGCTGCTCAGAGCCGTGCACCGAGAATGACCCTGTCTGGGCTGTTAGCACAGAGTTGGTGGGTGCACAGCACAACCACAGGGGCATCTTTCACTTGTTTTTTCTTTTTGTTTTTCCTTTCTTGAGACAGGGTCTCACTGTGTAGTTCAGGCTGGCCTCAAACTCACGACGATCTTCCTGCCTCAGCCTCCCAGGTGCTGGGACTACAGGCTTGCACTACCACACCTGGCCTCACTTTTATAAATTAAAACCCTGCTCAGCTGCTTCTTTGTTAGTTTTCTAGATGGTTGGTTTTTCCTTCACAATAAAACCTTGCTTTTTCAGAACCCCCCCAAGCATTTCAGGAAGCTTGAGGATTATCTTAATCGTTTTCTACAACATGCTGCCCACTTCCTTCCTTTTATAAACAGAGCCTCGGCGTCCTACCTGCCTCTTGCCAGACACTTGCCAATTCCCTCAGATCCCACCACAGGCCAAAATTTCTGACAGCGCATGGCCTTTGCAGTCCTGGCTACAGTCATTCTGACTCTGCATTCCATAGTATTTCTGCTGCAGCTCCCTCTGATTAGAGCACTTGCCGTTAGCCCTTTCCCCACTCTCTAATATCCCGTGACTAATAATCTGTGACTTGGGAAACGAGACAACAGAGCTTGTTAGAATTATTTTTAAAGAGAAATTAGATTCTAAGTGGGTATTGCTTCCAGCAATAAGACCTGGATTTTGGGACATTGGTGGTGGCATTTTTGATTGCTTTTTCTGCCTTTCTGCTCAGAGGTTTTTTTTCTCTGTGTGCCAATCACTGAACTCAGAGGACAGGTGTTTTGGGGCTGTGTTTTAGAAAAGATGGACTCATGGAAGCCACATTACAAAGGTGTCCAGAGTACAGCAATGAAGAACTCGGGCCCTGAAGGTTGCATGATGGCCAGACCCCAGAAAGGAGCTACGGGCCAAGCTAATAAACCCCAACTCCCTGCCACTCCAGTCTTTCAGATGGCAGCAGCAATAATGCATAGCTCATTTAACCCATCATGACGTGGGCCTTAAGATAATGCAGGTGGACTCTTAGAACAGTGCTCAGCACACAAGAAGTGTCTGGTAAATGTTAGCATCAAAGAAGAGAAGACCAGAGCTGCAGGTTCTGAGGGTTGGGAGTCAGCTCTGCCAGCCTGCACAAATGAAAGGATTAAGGGAAGGTAAAAACAGCAGGAAGAACGAGGCAGACCTAAACGTTAATTCTTCCAACTCCTCTAAGTTTTCCAAAGCAAAGGGTGACTGCTTTCTGACTTGGCAAGATTTAGAGCCAGCGAGGACAGAGTGCTGGTGACTGTGGTCTACTAACTAACTAGTCCTTCATTAGGGAACTGCAGGTGGCATCAGCTTGTGATATTAATGAGTATTACTTTCTTCAGACACAGAATTATTGATTGCAGTCTCCCTTTATCAGCATGGCCACTTTCTTAGGTTTCAGTTATGTAAGGCCAACTGTGGCTGGAAAATTCCAGAAGTAAACAGTTACTAAGTTTTATATTGCAGGATTCTTTCACAACCATGATGAAATTGCACATCATTCCACACCATCCCAGTACAGACATAAATCATCCCTTTGCCCCGTATATCTACTCTTTATACCCTACCTTCCCACTAGTCATCCGATAGCCCTCTCAGCCATCAGAACCTGCTGTTGTGCCATAGTGTTTGTGTTCATGAAGATTGTATGTTACCTAATAATGGCTCCAGAGTGCAGGAGCCATAATGCAGACAAGGCATCAGGGCACAGACCGTGGAAGGAGAGGCTAGCTTTGGTCTTATGTGGCAATGCTGCAGAGCATATAGGAAGAAAGAAGATATACACACAGCTTAGTACCACTTTTGATTCTAGGTATTCTTTGGGGCTCCTGGAACATATCCCCGATGGATGGGGAAATCACTGTATATTACATTTTTTGTGTTTTAGGAAATGTTTTTAACTGAACATGATGGCACACACCTGTAATCCCAGCACTTGGAAGGCTAAAGCAGGAGACCAGTTCAAGGCCAGCCTGGGCTACATACTGAGTTCAAGGTCAGCCTGGACTACACAGTAAGACCCTATCTCAAATACCTGCCCATCCCCGTGCCCTCCAAAAAAGAAAAGTTTTCAAAATGGAAAGGGGAGACTTTATTCTTAGATATTTGAGAATGGAAATTTGGACATTAACCTCAACCCCCTGGTTTTCTCACTAAGATTCATCCTCCCTGGTGCCACCTGAACAGAGGGGAGACAGAGACAGGCCAGCTTCATTCTTATAGATAAGCTGGGTGCAGGGACAGGCACTGCCATTCCCAGAATCCTCCCATATCCCACCCCCATGCATGTGGGGTTTCTGGTGCTTTTCAGATAAGCAAGTGGCAGTCAGTTATGGATGCAGAGCCTGCTCAAGACTAGTCAGTGACAGTGCTGGATTTGCATTCAGTTCTCCCCTGCTCCAAACCTGGGTCCTGACCCATTCTGCATTTCCATCATACTTGCCCATGGTGGTACCAGGAATCCTTTCCCTACTCTGAGCCAGAGAGGGGCAGGCTGTGTCAATGTGACTGTGTCCACTCTCCTGACAGGGGCACTTGGTGGCACGGGGTGGAACTAACCAAAATGCAATGAACTATGGGTGAGCCTCTCTCTCCTTCTTTGAAAGGTGGGAGTGTTGCAGCCCTTCAGAGACTGGTGGTAATTTCTGGCAATGGACCTAGAGACTGTTGGTTCATCTAAATGATTTTGCAGTAA